GTGGTGCACTTGCAAGGAGTGTGGTGGTTTGGTGTGCTCCACACCGAGATAGGGAAATAAAACTCGCAGGTATGGAATTTATTGGCACCTATTATGCCCAGCTGGCTTCTTAAACACTAACTTGCTTTGGCCAACTCATTTGAAAGCAGTTGTTCTGCCCTTGCATCACACTCTCTCCACATGTCTCTCTTTCCGGGCTCAGGATTCTGGAAAAATTGGATCAGCCTTTGCCTCCAGATTCCAAGGAATTGCTTCTCTACCTCACCTCTATTTACACCCAAGAGGACACCGTTCCCAGCCCAGGCTCAATCCCAGAACTCCGCAAGCAGCCTATTTATACTGTGGAGAGCTTACAGTGGCAAGTGAAGCAGAGCAATATGGCCAGAGGGCTTGCCAAAAGAACTACAAAGCATGAGTGGCCGCTGGGAGATATTGAAGAAGAAGAAGAGATGGAGGAGGAAGAGGGAGAAGCTCAGGCAGCACATCTCTACCCTGGATATCTTGATGAGAGAAAGATGGTTCTGCTTGGGTCGGTCTGGCAGGTCAGCCCAGGTAAAAATTGCCTTTTGGTTTGCTGGGGAAGGGAAGAAACAAGAAGCAGTCTGGAGTGTCTCCAGCCTTACATCTGGCATTGTCTTGAGTATCTGTACACATCATGATTAGTAGTTGCAAGTATGTGGAATGGTGGTAGTGGCAGTGGTGACTGTTAATATTATTATTGGATTTGTGAGTCACTTCCTCTTGCCCTGGGCAGCCCAAAGCGACTTACAGCCAAACAGTTGAGTGGAGATAGAAAAGGGTGGAACTAAGCACCTGTGATTCAGAGACACTTGAGCCCACAGTTTCATTCTTTGCCTAGCAGGGGCCTTTGCTGCATCAGAGGAAATAGAACTTTGCAGGAGCTATGGAGGGTAGAACACATGCTTGGCATTCAAAAAGTCCCATGTTCATTCCCAGGCACCTCTAGGTAGGCCTGGAAAATACCCATCTGAAACCATAGAAAGCTGTTGCCTTAGACAGTGGACTAATGGTCTGATTTGGCACAAGGCAGCTTCCTAAGTACCGTATTTTTCGCCCTATAGGACGCACTTTTTCCCCTCCAAAAATGAAGGGGAAATGTGTGTGCGTCCTATGGGCGAATTCAGGCTTTCCCGGGCTTCCTGCAGCTCTGCGCCACCCTCCGGATCCCGGCGCGAAGCCGCGCGGGGCTCCGGAGGGTAGTGCAGAGCTGCCTGCACTCCAGGGCTTCCTGCAGCTCTGCGCCACCCTCACGATCCCGGCGCGAAGCCGCACGGGGCTCCGGAGGGTGGCGCAGAGCTGCCTGCGCTCCAGGGCTTACTGCAGCTCTGCGCCACCCTCCGGATCCCGGCGCGAAGCCGCGCGGAGCTCCGGAGGGTAGCGCAAAGCTGCCTGCATTCCGAAGCCTGGTGCGCGCTGAAGAGCACGCCCGGGCTTTGCGCACCTCTCCGCAAGCCTGGGGAGACTGGCGCGGCTCCCTAGGCTTGCGGATAGCAGGCTGTTCTGGGGTCGGGGGAAGCTCGGGCTTCCCCCGCGCCTGCCCCGTACCTGGGGGGGAAATAATTTTTTCCCCTTATTTCCCCCCCCCAAAAAAAATTAGGTGCGTCCTATGGGGCGGTGCATCCTATGGGGCGAAAAATACGGTATGTTCTGAGGTGATAAAATCACATGGGGGGATGAGTTGGTGGAGGGAGAGAAAGAGGACCCTCTCTTGTAAGTTATCAGTGGTAGAATATCTGCTTTGCCTGCAGGACCCCAGGTGCAGTCCTATAAGTTAATTTGTGTGTTGAGTGGCCCATTCAATTTCTTTGGATGATGCTGAGTTCTAATGTTAAAAAAAGAATGTATTCTCTGCGTCAGTCTAGTCTTCAGTGCAAAATGCCCAGGCTTGTGAGAATCATTCTGAGCTATGAATGTTGCTTGTTTTTTCCCCTAGGCTGAGTCAGCCTCATTCAAGCACCTGTTACTAGATTTAGTATTAATTCCAGCTCTCTCTAATAATCTTTTTAATTTCCTTATTGCTCAAGTAGTACACATTGAGTTTCCCAGGCAGTTACCCAGTGTGTTGCCCAATAAGTTTCCAGAAATGTTGTGTTAGACATGCCCCAAAGAGATATTAAAAATCTGCTTTCAATGCTCCACTCATTTAGAAACTACCCAAATTCATTCATTCTCTCTCCCTCCCCCTTTCTTTTTCTCTTTCTCTCTCTCTCTCTCTCTCTCTCTCTCTCTCTCTCTGTGTGTGTGTGTGTGTCTCACCCACACACTTGTTTTCTTTTGGGGGGGGCGGAATGGTGAGGATATTTTGAGCTGGTTTATCCAGAAATAATCATGGCTCAGTCTGAAGTGTGTTTACAGCTCAGAACTGATCTGCACCTCATTCACTGCATCAATTAGATGTTTGTGGGCAACTCAACATATAAGTTTGTATTCAACTGACAAAGTGGGGGGGGGGGTCAAGTAGAATTACACTGCTCTGCATTTGCTGCCCTGCTCTGCTGAAGAAACAGATTGTCAAAGTTGTCATCTAGACCATTGGTCCAACACATTGGACCCTTGATATGGTCTTTGCTCGAAATGATATGAGGGAAATATCATTTATCAAAATGATATGAGGGAAATATATGCTTTGCTCGAAATGATATGAGGGAAGGACCCAAGGATTTGTGTGAGTATGCAATGAACTCCCTTGTCAAGGTCAGACCATCATTGGGTAAGTTTTGGACTGACACTTAGTTCCCACCTAAAGATGGGGTAACCCATCTTTAGAAACTAATGGAACTTGTGTGTTTCTTGAATGATCTGGGGGATTTCCAGCTAAGAAAGCTGACAATCCAGGATTGTCTATGGAATGCCAAGATGAAATGAATAGTTGACATGATTGTTCCTGAGCATCCTCTCCAACATTGTGGAGCCCAATTGGTCTCTTTGTCTTCTGGGGAGCTCCAGGCTATGAAACAAGCTAGATCAAGGCTAGAGTGATGCAAGTCTCACTCTGAAGCTGACCTAGTGTAGAGTTGCAGCCTGCCATAAGGTGGGCTGCAATGCAGCCAGATGGGTGGGGTATAATTTTATTATTATTATCTCCATGCATAGGCTGTATATGTTAAGAAGTTGGTCTCTCAGTGCTTGTTTGGAAGGGTTGATGATTATTGATGTTCTGAAGCAGAGATCAGGAACTTCAAGCCCAAAGGGCAAATATGACCCCCAGAAGACCATCTGCAGGCCATGCACCTTCCCCAGGCCACACCAGCCCTGCTTTTGCCTGGCTGCAATGTTCATTGCTTGCCTGGATGGAGGATAGAGAGGAATGGGTGTGCAACCTCTGAGTTCATGGAGTAGGAGACATTCCAGCCATGCAAAAAGTGGCTTCACACAATTTTGCCTCCAGACCCACCTATCACTGGCATGTGACACCAGAAGGATGCCTGTGAGGGATTGTGGCCTTCGGACTGAAAGAGGTTTCCCATCCATCGTAAAACATACTTACATTTTAACTCAATTCTAACCCACGTTGATCTCTGGGGAGAGGAAAAACCGGGAATACAGCATGATCACATCTTACACATATTTAATTTGCTCAGTTTCAGTTGAAGGCAAGCTGGTTGAAATTATGCAAGTTAAATCCAAGCAGGGCAGAGAGTTTAAAAGCTCCACTTGGGTTACCCCACACATAAAGAGCTCTTAAGCTTGCTGGGCAAGGCCCACCCTCTCCCCCCCCCCACTAGCTGCTGGGTGGTTTATTCATTCATTCATTCATTCATTCATTCATTCATTCATTCAATTTATACACTGCCCTATACCCAGAGGTCTCAGGGCGGTTCACAACAAGACCACAACATATAAAATCAAACCAAAAGCAATTACACACACACCCTCCAAGCAACATTCTAAAAGGGTGTTGGATGTCAATAAGATCAACCAGCCTGGTTAAAAAGGAACGTTTTTGCCTGGTGCCCAAAGGTGTATAATGAACTTCCCTAAAGAGAGCATTCCATAGACGGGGAGGCTCTACAGAGAAGGCCTGTTCTCGTGTTGCCACCCTCTGGACCTCGAAGAGGAGGCACACAAAGAAGGGCCTGAGAAGATGATCATATGGGAAGAGGCAGTCCTTGAGGTATTGCAGTCCTTAGCCGTTCCAGGGGTTTGGGTATACATACTTTTCGTGTATATTCAGAACCCTTGAAACTGAACCCCTGTGTAAAGGTAAAGGGACCCCTGACCAATAGATCCAGTCGTGACCGACTCTGGGGTTGCGGCGCTCATCTTGCTTTATTGGCCGAGGGAGCCGGCGTACATGTTTCGGGTCATGCGGCCAGCATGACTAAGCCGCTTCTGGCAAAGCAGAACAGCGCACGGAAACGCCGTTTACCTTCCCGCCGGAGGAGTACCTATTTATCTACTTGCACTTTGATGTGCTTTCGAACTGCTAGGTTGGCAGGAGCAGGGACCAAGCAACGGGAGCTCACCCCGTTGCGGGGATTCAAACCACCGACCTTCTGATCGGCAAGTCCTAGGCTCTGTGGTTGCAATAATATTGTACCACTTTTTTTTCATAGTCCGTATGAACAGACTAACCCCAGGTGAAAGGCATTTGATCGTGCTGAATTATCTGTGTCTTCTCTCACAGATTGGGTGAAGTGGGGAAATTATCCCTTGGGGAAATTGCCTGACCAATCAGATGACCCTGACAACCTGCTGGTGGAGAACTACTCCGTGATGTTGACACACGACCAGCTGATGGATGGAGGCAGGAATAGCACCCCCAATGCCGCGTGAGTAACATACTGAGGCCTGGATGGGCCCTTGCAGTGCTAAATAAAAGAGATGAAAGGCTCGATCTTGTCTCCACCATGAAACGCACAGGCCAGTCTTTCTCTTACCTTAACATACCTCACAGGGGGGTTGTTAAGACATCAGAAGGTGTGGAGGGTGTGCGCTGTGGATGCTATATTGGGGAGGATCAGAGGAAATGTAATAAAATCCATGGGAATGGCACAGGCTGTGAATTGACAGTGTGTCATGTTTTGTTCTTTATGTCTCTCTAAGCTGGGTTTTGAACATTACTTTTCCCTTTCACTTGGTTCATTCCTTAGGAACTGCTCTTTACTCCGAGTAGCCTAGAGTAGCTTCCACGTGTTTCCTTGAATGTCTGTCACTCAGACAGCTTCCCCATCTGCACTTGCTTAACTTTCCAGGAATAAAACAGCATCATATGTTATTTGTCCTTGGCCTGTGAAGATAGACTCAGGGATGTTACGCATATTTGTTCATTTTAACAGATGTTTTAATAACCCAACCTTCCTCCAGTCCCCTCAATTTTTTTAAAAATAAACTACTTACCAGCAGCTGAAAACTGCAGGAGGGGAGAGTGGTACTCAGGTCCTGCTTGGCATCTGGTTGGCCATTGTGAATACAGGATGCTGGATTATATAAGGCCTTTGGCCTGATCTAGCAGGACTCTTTTTATGTTAAGTTTGGTGCTGAAAGTGTGTGTTGGGAGGCTGCTTGTTTGGCTCTGTGTGATTGAGGCTTTCTAGATGAGGGTCGACTTTTGTTTTTTGCTAGAGTTTTGAGATCCACCAACTGGAGACTGATGCAAAGGGTGGGACAGAAATTTGATAAACTACCCAGAGATCTACTGTAGATTCAAATCTAGCTTCTGCCCATCCTTTTTCTAAGCACTTTAGCAATACAGTGACAAAAAAAGCCTCCACCAGCCTTTCTCCCAACATTGGAGCTGGGGAAGAGACAGGAATCCCACTGCGACTACAGGGAAGATCTTTGGCCACCTCTCTAGCTCCAAAGGAAGTAGAAGGAAAGCAAGGGCTAATTGTGGATGCTATATTGCTGAGTGAAAATTTGTAGCATTGTTTATGCAGCACCTTGGACTTTGGGTGTTTTACAGCAGTTAAACTGAAGCTGAAGTTCAAAGCCTGTCTGCAGTCTAGTATTTCTTGTAGCTTAAAGCCATTGGCTATCCAGCTTCTGCTTAAAAACCTCCGATGAAGGAGAGTCCATTCTTGCCAAGAGAGACCATTCTATTCCACTGTCAAACAGCTCTTACCACCCAAAAGCCCTTGAGATATTTGAAGATGGCTATCATGGCTGCTCTCAGTCTCCTCTTTTCCTGGCTAAACATACCCAACTCCCTCAACCATTCCTCATACAGCTTGGTTTCCAGACCCTTGTTCATCTTGGATGCCCTCCACTGCACACATTCCAGCTTGTCACTATCCTTCTTAAATTGTGGCACCCAGAACTGGACCCAGTACTCCCAATGGGGTCTGACCAAGGCAGAATAAAGGTAAAGGTAAAGGTACCCCTGCCCGTACGGGCCAGTCTTGACAGACTCTAGGGTTGTGCGCCCATCTCACTCAAGAGGCCAGGGGCCAGCGCTGTCCGGAGACACTTCCGGGTCACGTGGCCAGCGTGACATCGCTGCTCTGGCAAGCCAGAGCCGCACACGGAAACGGCGTTTACCTTCCCGCTAGTAAGCGGTCCCTATTTATCTACTTGCACCCGGGAGTGCTTTCGAACTGCTAGGTTGGCAGGCGCTGGGACCGAGCAACGGGAGCGCACCCCGCCGCGGGGATTCGAACCGCCGACCTTTCGATCGGCAAGCCCTAGGCGCTGAGGCTTTTACCCACAGCGCCACAGCAACGGGCCCAGGACAGCACTCTTTGGTTCAGACAGACAGCCAATTACAAATCAACCTAAGAGTTATCTCATCTAGCCCACATTTTATCAGCTTCTCTGCAAGAGTACCATGGGAGACATTGTCAAAAGCATTACTGAAATCAAGATACACTATGTCCACAGCATTCACCTGATCTACCAAGCTTGTAACTTATTGAAAAAAGAAATGAGATGTGTTTGGCATGACTTGTTTTTGAGAAACCCATGCTGGGTATTAGTACTCATAGCTGACCATTTAATTATTTGTTCTAGACCCTTTCCTGGTTAGTAGATACCTGGGTCTTCTTCTTTTTCCCCATTTTGAAGAGAGGGACAACATCTCTCCACCTCCAGTCTACAAGGACCTCACCTATTCTCCAAGAATTCTCAAATATTATAGGCAGAGGCTCTGAGATTACGACCATGAGCTCCGTTAGTACCCTTGGGTGCAGCTGACCAGGCCCTGGAGATTTGAATTCATTTAACGTAGCTAGATGTTCCTTTACGACCTGTTTCCTATCTTGGGCTTCAGCTCCCTACTTGCATCGTTTATTCTGTTATCATCAGGTTGGGCATTGCTTTCCTTTTGGGTGAAGACAGAGGCAAAGTAGGTGTTGAGCAATTCTGCCTTCTCCCTGTCATCCAGTAGCATTTATTCCTCCCTCCTCCCTCACAGTTGACTGTTATCTGCGGCAACCCCTGTATGTAACATACAAAAACAGTATGAGAGCAATTCAGTGCCACACTCATCTGATCATTCTGTCCATGCTAGCAGTTCTGCCAGACAGAATGATCCCCTGCTTTCTCCCTGTGCACTGTTGAGGGGGTCTCGGCAACCCTCCAGAGCAAATACAGGCAAGGAGTGGAGAGAAAGCACCATTATGCTAGCAGAAGCCCTTGTACTGGGCTTAGCCAGCATGCTGTGTTACTTGAATTGGGGCCTACATGTTTTCCGCTTTTCTTTAAAGGCACTCTTTTCCTTCATGTGAAGGAACTGCCCAGCCTTAACCAATCTGGTGTCCCCCATATGTTTTGGACTACATCTATCAATTCCAGCCACCACACATGTGCTAGGTTGGAGCTGCCAGGAGTCATAGTCCAAAGTGTCAAAAGGGCACCAGGTAGGTGAAGATGGTATTTGGCTAAGCTGACCCATGAACGGTGAGCAAGCCAAGTATATTGTTATATAGAATCATATTTTTTTAAATAATGATTTTATTTATTTTCATGGTACAGAAGATAAATTTTGAGAAAACAATTGCTACAACAGTAAACAACAAATAGCTAGTTCTGACAATATTATATTATATTATATTATATTATATTATATTATATTATATTATATTATATTATATATTATTATTATATTATTATTATGCCACATGTTAAAGTTTCATTTGATTACTCTGAGATCACACCACGTTTTCTCATGAGTGCTGGGTGGATTACCGCAATAGTCTGAACAATTTATATATTCAATAAATGTTTGTAATATGAAATGATATTGATCTTCAGGAGCCCAGAGGCCTTAACCCAATTGTTTGGTTAACTATGTCCTAATTCTAGGAATGGGATGTCTTATTTAAAGTTTCTGTCTGTTCCTAAATACAGAAAACATTTTTCCTTGGCTCAGACGAATGCTTTATCCTCAAAGCTTCTAGGGGGTATATATTACAAAGCTCCTATAAGTAAAAGTTTGTGCACTTTCAACAACAAAGACGTATATTTTACCTGTTCTTTTTTTAAAGCATTTTTACAAGTGTACATAGGAACTGATATGCCCCATTACACAGTCCTTCATTGAATGCCCTTCAGAATTTCTCTTGACCACTTTCATGGAGGGCTTGAACTTTTTGAATGATGGAGCAAGTTGCAAAATTCATAAATGTAGCAATCTTTGATAGCTTTTTCTGCTTTTAGCCATCTTAAATGCTTCACATTCTGTAACTTTTTATTTTATCTGTGGTTGGTAGACCATAAATAAACAGCATTTGAATATTAGTTTCTATCCATGTTCACTCCTATTTATTAAGCAAATTGATTAAAAAAACTTGTGTGGTTCAGACTTCTGCAATCTGGTAACAGCCCAAGTTAAGGGACGCGGGTGGCGCTGTGGGTTAAACCACAGAGCCTAGGACTTGCTGATCAGGAGGTCGGCAGTTTGAATCCCCGCGACGGGGTGAGCTCCCGTTGCTCGGTCCCTGCTTCTGCCAACCTAGCAGTTCGAAAGCATGTCAAAGTGCAAGTAGATAAATACTGTATTTTTTGCTCTATAAGACTCACTTTTTCCCTCCTAAAAAGTAAGGGGAAATGTGTGTGCGTCTTATGGAGCGAATGCAGGCTGCGCAGCTATCCCAGAAGCCAGAACAGCAAGAGGGATTGCTGCTTTCGCTGCGCAGCGATCCCTCTTGTTGTTCTGGCTTCTGAGATTCAGAAATTTCCCCCCCTTGTTTTCCTCCTCCAAAAACTAGGTGCGTCTTATGGTCTGGTGCGTCTTATAGAGCAAAAAATACGGCAGGAAGGTAAACAGCGTTTCCATGCACTGCTCTGGTTCGCCAGAAGCGGCTTAGTCATGCTGGCCACATGACTTGGAAGCTGTACGCCGGCTCCCTCAGCTAATAAAGCGAGATGAGCGCCACAACCCCAGAGTCGGTCACAACTGGACCTAATGGTCAGGGGCCCCTTTACCTTTAACAGCCCAAGTTACAAATATTTTTCTTGCCCTAAGGACCTCAGATAGGATTGGGGAATAGCATATGTTACAATAGAGGCTTTGCTACAAAATTGTTCCAGAGGTTTGAGCACTAGATTGAACACTAATCTGAACACTAGATTGGCCGGCATCTATTTTAGGTCTCTGCAGCAGGCCTTCTATTTATGGTTAGTTTTTTACCCCAAAGTTGGATGTTTCCAGCAGGGTGGCTCCTAATTGTCCATTTGAGCCAGTGCTGTGAACTTCCATCATTTTGTCACCAGAGCAATAATGTCAGTTGCCACAGCAGCTGCTCCAATTGTAGCCATTTATAGCCACTCCTGTCCCACTTGCTTAACTGTTCTAACTCTGATCCTGCTGTGGTGTTGATTTCTTCCTGTCGGT